GGGGGGGGGACGGGGACGGGGGAGAGTCTGGCGATGTAATGGCAGCGCACCTTGACTCTTGTCGCCCCGCGGCCTTATATCGCTTGAGGATCGCACAAGGGGAGCTGTACAGGCCTCGTCGCTTTGCTCGACAATGGGAAGGATGCAGCGCAGGACCGGAGCCGTCGCCACAGCTACAAGTGAAGACCAGCGGCTGCGTCCACGGAGGTCCTACGCGGCATAAGCTCCACTCAGGTCTTGCATTAGGTTCGGCGGAGGTGCGTGTCGAGCTTCTTGGCTTCACCCCCGCTTCAAGCTCCGTCGACTTGGTGTTATTGTCAGCCCGTTCTGAACCCGATCCTATTCAGGCAAGGAGCGGGGCCCAACCGCAGCGTTGCAGCTAGGCGTCGATCATGGAGCACCACTAAGGGGCCTTGCTAGGCCGAGGTGTGTACCCCTGATCCCGCTACTGCTTGCTCCTCGATCCACCTGCGATGGCACCAGCTGCCACCGCCGCAGGATGGTCCGACCGGCCTCGCCCGGTTCGGAGTCCTTGGCGACGGCTCATCGCGCGGCATGAAAAGCACAAGGAGCAGTGCGCGCCGGCGTCGAGAACATGTGTGCATCACCGGAAGTCGCAGAGGCATGCCGTGCTGGTCGCGACCTGGCGCCGTGTGGCCCCAAGGGCGGGGTTGCATGGCTATGTATGTATCAAGCAAGCTCGTCCGGTCGACGCGGTCGTCATGGGGCCCCGCCGGTCTCGAGCAGCGAGGTGGTCAGGTCAGGGGCGGACTGGGTAAACAAAATCATGGCGGGTATCGATGCACGGGTAGCGCGCGACTAGTGGGCCGCAACGATGGGCTGAGCACCAACTGGCGCTGCTGTCGGCGTGCCGACGTCGACCGGGGCGGGTGCAGCCGCCGTGGGGTTAGCGCCCTCCGCCGTCGCCTTGACCGCTCGCCCGCTTGTCCGTTCGTCCTCGGCGGGCTTGTGACGGATCCTACGCCAGAGCTCCTTTGTCTTGTCATTGATGCCGATCCGCCGCTGCCTGCCGTTCGCCCCCGACGGCGACTCGGGCATGGCCTCTCCTGCCTCATCCTCGGTCTCCGACGGATCGGCAGCGGCAGCGGCAGCGCCGACGGGTTCCGGTGCGTTGGTGTCGAGCCCGGAGACGGCGGCAGAGGACGCTGGAGCCGAGGACACAGGGGAGGCGCTGCTGGACGACGACGTGAGCAGCGTCACGGTGAGGATGGCGGTGAGGCCATCGACGGCGATGTCGTGGTTGACGCCCTGCTGGCCGGGCGGCATGAGTCCCGCGACGTACTCGACGCTGGTCCGGTACCGCTTGCCAAAGAAGCTGGTGACGGTGTCGCGTTCGGCCTGGCTCTGCTCGACGAGCTCGTCGCGTCCGATGTTGTAGCCGTCGGGCACGATCATGTGCTTCCTCGCCACGTTCTGCTCCTTGCTCGTGGCGAGGAACCAGGCGCCGGTGCCCTGCTGCTGCCACGCGCGGAAGTGGTTGCCCCCCACCAGGCTCTCGATGCACGTGCCGAACAGGTGGTCGAGGGGCGTGTAGACCTTGCGGAAGAGCCACTCCTCGTCCCTCCATCCGCGAGGGTCGAGCCACGCCTTTTGCGCGCCGCCCGAGTGAAGGCCGAGGCACTCCTTGTCGAAGTCGAGCGAGCGCATGTACGACTGCAGGCCCTTTTTGGTGAGGATCTCGGGGGACGAGAGCGCGCTGACGATGACGTTGAGCGGCTCGTGCTCGCCGTCGCCGACGAGGTCGAAAGAGGTACCGCCATAGAGGCGCGGATCGACGAAGCCTTGGCCCACGACGGGCGCCACGACCTGGTCGACGCCAGTGACCGAGGGCGGCGCGATGAAGCGCACCGTCGTCTGGCGGCCGTGGGTGGCCTTGGTCACCTTGTCCACCAGGTCCGGTGGAACTTCGGAGGATGTAGGCAGCACTGCGTCGGCCGTAGCCGTCCCGGTGGCAGCGGGCAGTGGCTGTGGCTGTGGGCTGACTGCAAAGACGGCGGGGTCGTCCTGAAGCTGCGGATCGTCTTCATCCTCGAGGCCCAGCCTTCTCCCCCTTTCGTCAGTCGGGAGTTCGGCGAGCTGGAGGCCGGTGGCGTTGGCGGTGGCGGTGGCGGTGGCGGCGGAGGCGACCGCACTATCAGTTCCTGCGCTCGCTGATCGAAGCCCGGTGGTATCGACCTGAGCCTCGACGCTGGACGCGCCCCCCTGCGCGTGCGACCTGGCAGCCGCCAGACCTTGGCTGCGCGTCAGCGTCGAAGCCACCCAAGCGTCGACCTCAGCACCCGTCGGTCCGCTGGAGGCTCCCTGGGCGGCCTTTTGCACCGCAACGCGGTCCTTGCGGGATCCAAGGTAGGGCGAGACGGAGAGGGACTTGGGGATCTTCCACTGCGGCATTGCGAGCACGCGGCGGGGTTTGGCCGGGGCTGCCTCTGCAGCGGCAGCCGCTTCCAGCTCCACGGTGGCTGTGGCGGTGGCGGTGGCAGTGACGCTCATCGACTCTGTGCGGCGTGGCGTGTTCGTCGGGGAGGGATCAGATGACAGGACAGTAGTGACACGGACTCGTGCGTGCCAAGGTGGCCTCAGAGGAGTCGGCGAGGCATCTTATGTACTCGTCCGTCTTGCCCCTGCGAGCGGCAAGAGGATCCTGCAAGTCCCTGGCAAGTCTTGCTCGTAAGTTGCGCGACAGCAACAGGGGCTGGTCGGAAGAGCTTGAGCATCGATCGGTCGGTCGCTGCACTTTCTCAGAGGGCATCGCAGGGGGCTTGGAGCTTGCTTGGCGGCCGTCGAGAGCATGCGGTTGCGGTCCAAAGACCGCCCGGGGGAAGGAAGCATCGCGTAGCGAGCCGCATCGGCGCCGCCGCCGCTCGCGCTGCAGCCATACGATGTGATGATACCGTGCAGATAGCCAGCGGCCTTGTGCTGTTCTCGGCACAGCATCGTTAGGCTTGAACGTGCCCGCCTGCCCTTGCCCAGAGATGCCGAAAGAGCAACATCTGCCTGCCTGTGCACCAGCGATGGGCAAGGGTGAGGGCCGAAGTAGCACGATACGGGACTAGCAAGAAGTGACGGCGAAGCGAGCCTCAATTTGGCCCCCTGTCTTCGACTGGCTCGCCTTGGGCTGACGGTATCGAGCCAGCGAAGGGGGGTATCGATGTACGGTGTGAGCGGCGGCTGCGAGGAGATCGGCATCGTGCATGCGTCTCTGTATCGCTCCTTGTCAGATGGGACTGAGGCAAGAGAGAAGGGTGAAAAGCTTGCCGTGTCGAGATAGAGGGAGAACATCGCGTTCGGGAGCCAGCATCTGAGCGCTCGAGGCGCGGGGGCCCAGAGCGAGAAAGCGGGGTCGGCTACAAGCTCCGCCTGCACACGTGCCGCTCAGGGGCTCTCCGACACGTTCCCGAAGATCTTCTCGACAGGTAGCGAGCATGCTTACCGCCTTGCTGCAGGGCCTCTAAACCCATACCCCAGCGTCCATTTTCCGATCCGCCCCGAGACGTTGACCGTCTGGTGGGTGGGTACAAGACGCTCTTTTGGACAAGGTCAGATATCGGACGACCTGTCTGCCTCATTCGCCCCTCGCCCTGCGCCGCGCCGTGCCTTACCAGTCGTGAGTCTGCCGGGAGCCGTTCCCCAAACTGTGACAATCGCTGCCAAGGCACACATGGTCCATTCTCATTGCTCTTTTTCAGTACAGGGTCACTGCACCCTGTCCCGCCCGTCGATCGGGCCCTAGCCTGATGGCGCACTGAAGCACCATACTCAAGAGGCACTTACTCGACCGTTGTGGCGAACTGCGGCGTAAAGATGGGCAGCGGGTGTGCCTCGGTGTTGAAGACCCACTTGTCGAGCGGCAGCAGCGACTGGTCCGAGAAGAGCAGGTAGAGGTACTTGAGCGTCTCGGACAGCCAGAACCTGCGACAGCGGTGCGATGAGGTGCGATGCGGGAAGAAGGTGGTGGGCGTCGATGTGAGCAATGCGGTGGTCCTCTTCCTCTGCGGCGGTCGCTCGGGCGCCGCCCTATGCCAGCAGTCCGGACTCACGTCTCCATGCGGTCCTGCTGCTGCGGCGTGTCGGCATCGACGTCGTCGATGCTGGCAAAGCCGCCAGACTCGACCTTGCAGTGCTTGACAAACGCCTCGAAAATCTGCCAGCCCCACTCGCGGTAGATTTCGTCGCCCGTCAGGTGGAAGGCGATGAAGAGGCTCTCGACGGTCTCGGGCCGCAGGATGTTGCGCGCGTCGATCAGCGGGTTTGCCTTGCCCTCGAACGACGGCGGCGGCCTGGTGGACGACAACAGACAGACCAGCGAGGATCGTCGGGGTCAGTCGGCTTGGCAGGCACGTCTTCCCGCCCGTCGGCACTTCATCGCGCCGCGCATACTCACTTCTTGATGTACCAGTCCTCGCCGTGCTCGATCTCGGCCGGAGTGCGGAAGAAGACGATCTCGGGAGCGAGACCGGTCTTGGTCTTCTGGTAGGTGTCGACGCAGGTGCGGACGAGCTCGTGGCCCAGCCGCCAGTCCTCGACCTCGACGGCGTCGGCCGTCGCCCCGACCTCGATGGGGGCCACCAGCGGGCTGCTCGACTGCAGGGACGGCGTGGATCCGTGCGCTTCGGACGCGGACACGGCGCCGAGCATCATGGCCCCTCCGAGGAAGCAGACGAGGTGGTCCTGCTTGGGGACGAGCTGCATCATCGGCTTGCCGTCCTGGCCGCGGCGCGGCGACAGCTCGGCCGTGATCATGAGCGGCGGCTCCGAGTGCACCGACGTCTTGACGAGGATCGTCTTGATGCCAAAGACGGCCGAGTCGTACATGGCCTTGTAGACGTGCTCGGTGCGGTTGGTCTGGAGCCACTGCTTGACCAGGTACTCGTAATACGAGTCTCCGCGCGACCCGAGGCGGATGTCGGACATGTAGAAGTGGCCCGTGTGCGGGTTGAGGAAGATGGGGAGGAGCGTGTAGAACTGGGGCACCTGGAGGCTCTGCCTGCGAGCGACGTGCATCGGCTGCTCGGCGAGCCTCCAGTAGAAGCGGTCGTCGAGCAGGTGGGCGAGGTACTTGAACTCGAGCTGCAGCGTCGTGGCCTCGGCGAGGCTGCTGGCGTTGTTGTTGTCGGCGTCGGCGAACGCCTCGCCCGTCTGCAGGTCGACCTCGCGCAGCGGGACGCCGCTCTTTGTCTGGAACGCGGGCACCAGGCGCTCTGCGAGCCCGGCAGCCTTGCTGAGGAAGAGCTCGGCATCCTCCTCGCTGGCGGTGATGGCCGGGTTCGGAGGGTCGCGGATCAGCGCCGAGGCCGAGAGCAGGCCGCCCAGCGTCCTGATGGTCGTCTGCAGAGTGGGTTTGGGCGGGTCAGGGCAAGGCGGGGCAGAACGGGGCGGAACGGGAGAAGGCCGGGGGCCGTTCAAAAGTCAGCAACAAGAAGGGGCCTCGACGCTGCAGTGTCTTTCCCGATCTGGGCTCGTCGGCCGCTACACACCTCAAAGACGTTGAGGCGCCCCTCGATGTTCCAGTCGAGCTCGTCCCGCACCCAGTCTCTGGCTCTGCGGTACTCGTCCGCCAGGCCGAGGAGGATGATGGTGTCGAGGCTGTCGACGATCGTGTAGCCGATGCCCTTGCCCGGCTTGCCGGAGAGGTTGCTGCCGCTCTTGCTGAGCGGGTGGTACTCGTCGTAGCCCCAGGCGTTGTCGCGGTAGGCGGACCAGGAGTGGACAAAGGCGTCGAGGACGGCGGCCTGCCTCTCGACGTCGGCGGCCCGGATGGGCTGCTGGGGCAGCGGCCGTCGCGGCGGCAGCTTGTCATCGAGCACCGTCTTCCTGGGAGCCTGGTAGGGCTTGAAGTCGTCGAGGACCTTGTAGGGCTTGGGGCTGGCCGTGGCCGCGGACGGAGCGCCGTTGCCCGCCGGCGACAAGTAGCCGTAGGCGGCATAAGCGAAGCAGGCGGCGGCGATGGAGGCTAGCACAAGGCGGATGGTGCGGCGGACGCGGCCGTCACTGCTGGCCTTGGCGTTGGCAGCAGTCGAGCGGCGGGCGGCGGCACTGTCGTCGGTGGCGGAAGCGCTGGCACCCATGCTCGTCGACGTTGTCGCGCCGGAAGCCGTCTGCCTGGCCCGCATGCTGGCCGTCTCGGGCAGTCGGGCTACGAACGACCGCGGAAAGCGTCGACGGCGTTCAGGGAGCGATGAGTGGGGACGGAATGATGAGCGCAAACCCCCCTTTGGACGATGGCAGCAGTCTGGGCAATAGGGCTGGTGGCGATGCTGGAAGGAGGGGACGGAGGCCTGACTTCGGGAGAACGTAACGCCGTGGGCGGTGACTGGAGTCTTTAGTAGTGGGTGTGGGTGTGGGTGTGTGTTCCGCGTGCGGCGGTCCCAACTCGGAAACCCCTCTTTGGCTTCCTTTTCTTCTTGGCGCGCACAGATCACCGCCGACGTGGTCGGCTGGCGACCTCGATCGCAAAGGTAGGGTTCACCATCTCGACTCGACGCTCTGCGCCACACACATCCGCCATGTTCGCTCGCGCTTTCCATCGGGCGCAACGCTGATCCGGCCAACAGCCGCTTGGGCTGCCTCTCCGCTCGCAGGCGGCGGGCGGCGGGTGGCGGGCGGCAATCATTCCTCGTCCATGGCATCTGCCTCGTCGCGCTCCGCTTCGGTCGCACCGTCGCCTGCCGGCCACTGTCCAGCCTCCGCTCTTGAAGGCCCTGTCTGCTGCACCTCCTGATCCTGCTGCTGGTCTTGATCCTGGCCGTCGTTCTGCTGCCCCTGCTCCCTCTCCTGCGCCTGATTGGCCGTCTTCTGTCGCCTTCTGACCTCCTTTCGGATGGACTTCTCCGCCCGTCGCAGCAGCAGCTCCCCCTCGGGCAGTTCTGCAGCGGGGCGCGGTCCTCGGCGTCGCCTGGAGGCTGGCACTGTCACCTCTGTCCTGGCTTGAGCGTGCTGTGCCAGAGGGACGTCTTCATCGCCCGAGCTGCCGGCCTGCGATGCGGTGGCCCTCTCCTTGCCCTTGCCCTGGTCCTTGCGCCGTCCCTTGCTCTTGCCCTTGTCCCGCGTCGCCGTCCTGCTCCCTTCTGCCGCGGCTCGCGCTGTGGCCGTGGGTCTGGCCAGGGAGGCGAGATCGCCTGGCAGTCCGCCTCGGCGCACGTCGAGCGGCAGCCGCTCGTTGTCGGTCGGGTCGTAGATGGGCGCAAAGTGGAGGCGTGCCGAGCTCGTCGACGACCTGGTCGTTGGGTGTCGGCCCCGGCGCTGATGCGACTGAAGGTCAGAGGCCGACGGGTCGGTGTGCATGCCGAGGACCGGGGACGAGGACGAGGACGAGGCGGAGCTGATTTCGGTCGGGCGGAGGGGTCGCAGGGCATGCCGCTGGCCGTCGGGCCTGCTGGCGTCGTACTCGTCCCTGAGCACAATCTCTGTTCCGATCAGGTGGGCGCGCTGGCCGCGCAGGATGGTGTTGCCGACTTTGAGCAAGGGCGACGCCGTGTCGAGGCCGGTGATGGAAAACATCCTGCCTGCGCCCAGCACGCCCTTCTGACGTGCGGTCGTCGGTGGTGCGGGCGGCGCCTTGGTCGGCGGGGCCGATGCCGAGCCTTGTGGTGCCGACCCCTGCTTCGCTGCGGCCGCAGCTCCTGAGGTGCTCATTGGGGCTGAGGCTTGTTTCGAGGGACGCGCAGCAGGGCCGCCGCCGCCGGTGCCAGGGCTCTTTGCATCGGCGGTCGCGGCCCCACTGGCGAAACCGAGGAGGGCCTTTTTGGCGGTCCTTTCGGTTCCAAGATCGAGGGTGACGAGCTCCGTCTCTTCTGTAAATGACCACTGCGAGGACGCATCGCTGTCCTGGTCGTCGTCGTCGGCGGCGGCGGTGGCGTCGTGTGGAGCTTGGGCCGGGGTGCAAGGCTTGTTTGGATGGAACTGGTCGTTGGGGACGCGCGTCCAAGACGGGTCGATGATGGGACGCTGGAGCAGCGGGAGCGAGGCGCTGGACGACGTGCCTGCGGTGGTCATGGTGGCCATCGAGCTGTGGCGAGAGATGATGGAGGAGGAGGAGGGTGAGGAGGAGGAGGAGGAGGAGGAGGAAAGAAGGCATCGCCAGCGAGAGGAAGGCCGAAAGGGGGTCCGAGCGGCTGGCAGTCAAACAGTGTTTCTCCTCCACCAGCGCGCGCAGCCTCCAACGACGAAAAAGACGGCGGCCAAAGCACACACGCAGGAAGGGTCAGACGCGCGTCGTGTTGATTGCAGGCCCTCTCTGCCCGCCCCACCCCACCCTCACCACCTCAGCCACCTTCACGACGACGACCACGACATCGCGCTGCACTCTTCCACCGGCCAACTATCAGTGCAGTCGTCCCCCACGTCTTCCCCGCTGCCCCATCGAACATGAGCCAAGATGCTCCCGCCGACGCATCGTCGACCAGCACCACGGGCGGCCAGGTAACGCAGCCGCCTCTACCAAGCCACAGCGCCTCGACCTCCTCCGCTGTTGCTGCTCCCACTGCTGCTTCCACTGCTGCTGCTGCCTCTGCTGCTGCTGCCTCTGCTGCTGCCGCTGCTCCCACTGCTGCTGCTGCTGCTGCTACCACCGCGGCTGCCTCCACGACGACGGCGGCCGACGATGAGCCCGCCCACACCGCCCTGCCGGACCCCTCCCTCCCGGCGCCTGCCCTGGCCGAGGAGGAAGTCGGCTTCACCGCCGCCGACCTCATCGCCCGACAGGCCCGCCTCGAGGCCGAGGCCACCGACGCCATCCCCTTCCGCTTCGACACCTGCACCCACTCCATGGGCTACATCCGCCAGCCCGCCTACGCCTGCAAGACCTGCGGCGGCGGCGGCGTATGCGCAGCGTGCAGCGTCGCCTGCCACTCTGACCACGACCTCGTCGAGCTCTTCAACAAGCGCAACTTTCGCTGCGACTGCGGCACCCCCAACCTCTACCGCACCCGCCAGCCAAACTCTTGCCACCGCAAGGTGGCCATCGACGAGCAGCTCGAATACCCTCCGGCATCCCTCCCCTGCACCCTGCGCAAGCCCGGCTTCGACCCGCAGAACGAGGCCAACCGGTACAACCACAACTACGACGGCGCGTTCTGCTACTGCCTCCGCGGCCAGACCTACGACCCGGAAAAGGAGGACGAGACCATGTTCCAGTGCCTCGTCTGCGAAGAGTGGCTCCACGAGAGCTGCACCTCGCTGCGCCCGCCCCGCCGCCGCGACCCGCCGTCGGCTGCGGGCAAGGAGAGGCAACACGACGACAGCGAGCCGCCACTGATCGACCACGACCTCTTTGACCTGATGATCTGCGACGCCTGCGTGCGTCGGGACGGCAACGAGATGCTGCGTTCCTACGCCGGCTCGCGCGGCTGGTTGCTCCTCTTGCCGTCGCAGCAATGCCAGGGCGCCATGACCGCCTGGGACGGCATCCCCAGCATCCGCGTGCCCACCGACCACGCAAAGGCCAAGCCGCACCCCGCCGCTGTGGAGGGGTCCACGTCGTCTGGAAGCGCAGCGCGAGCTGTCAAAGGCGACGACGGCAGCCTGCAGCCTGCAGCAGACGAGCCCAGTTGGCAGCTCTTTGGCCTCAGGTTGGACGCCGAGGCATCCGACGGCGTCAAGGCAGATGAGACAGATGCTCCGGGCGAGGAGGCGGCCACACAGACGCGCCAAGGCTGTGCCGACGGCGCGGAAGGGCTGCAGGCAGCCGTGGCTCCAGAGGCCGGGACAGACGGTCCTCCGCCGCAAGGTACGTCGCTCGACAAGAGAAAGGCTGAACAGGCCCTGTCCGACCCGGTGGCCGGCGGAGACACCGAGGCTGCTGCCAAAAAGGTCAAGACGGATCCTGAAGTAGAACCCGTCGAGGCGGCGACGGCCACCGGGTGCAACCGGCCGCGCACCATCCCGCTGCTCGAGAAAGTGCCCGCCTCGATAGTAGACGAATGGGAGCCCGCGCTGGCCAAAGACTCCGCCGCCGCCGCCGTCGAGGGCGGGGCGGCGGGCCCGCAGCAGAGGTACGACATCTTCCTCGCCGAAGACTTCCGCGAGCGCATCTGCCGGTGCGCCGATTGCCTGGCGGCGTGGGATTCGCTGCCGTTTGTGCTCGAGGCCGAAGCGACGTACGCGCCGCCGTCGGACCACGAGGGGTCTCTGCGCGCCGCCGACGACGACGCGGCGTCGGTCACGTCGTCGACGTATGACCTGGGCATGGCGGCGCTGCGGACCATGCCGCGCGAAAAGATGCTCAACTCGCTCCAGGCCTATGCCACGTTCCGCGACGCGCTCTGGGAGCACCTCCGGCCGTTTGCGGGATCGGGCAAGGCGGTGAGCGAGGAGGACGTCCGGGCCTTTTTCCGCAACCGGCTCAAGCACGGCGAGCAGCAGTAGAGACGTGCGGGGGAGTTGGCTGGCCATGTTGGGATGCGACAGATGGACGACAAGGCGGCGGGACAGCTGCGGAGCCACCGATACGAGCATCGGTACACAGGCAGCTGGACGCCGATGCGGGTTGACGCACGCGACGGCGATCAATATCCCGTGCACGAGCACGTCTTCTTTCCATTCGACACGACAACAAGGCCGCGACGACTTGCGGCCTGCCTGGCCTGGCCTGGCAAGACTCGAGGGCGGGCGGGCGCGAGCGGCGTCCCCCCTCCCGGGACGGCTTTTCAGGCCCGAATAAAGCCTTCTACGCCGCCACACAGCAGCCCGCGGAGCACAGAGGGGAAGCCAAGCCGGGCCGCTTCTCGGTCGGGCCTAGCCTGAGCGCGAGCCTTGGCCCCACAATGGCGCGGCGCGGATAAGGATGGCCTGCGACGGGTACGGCTTTCCGGCGGATGCTCTGGGCGCGCACGTACTCGCTGCTTAGGTAGCCTTTTCGGCCTTGTTTTCGCTGGCCTAGCCTTGATGCTCTTCTGCGCTTGCGACGGTCCTCGAGGGCCGTTGCACCTGATCAACGCTCTATCTGTTGACATAACCGGCAGATGGTGAGCGGTGGCCATCTACCCACCCACCCACACTCCCGCTCTCGGCAGGTCGAGGTATGGAACGAGACTGGACCCACGGCGCGGGCCGAGACCAGGTCGAGGTCCGAGGGCACGAGACAAGGGTTCCGTGGGCATCTCGGGCAGGGCGGTCAAGCAGCACCGAACAAGGTAAGCTGAGCAGCCGAGTCGGCTGCAAGAGAGAGAAGGCTAGGCCAGCTTTCTCTTCTCTGACAAGCCGTCGCCTTGGCTCAATTGTATTGCGAAGCATCGAGGTCATTCACTCTGAAGGCTGCCGACCGCCGTCACCAGCAGTTGGCTTGCTTCGGCGGACTGGACCCGAGGCCGAAAGCCCCCGGTCAGCTGCTTGTCTGACCTGAGGAAAGCGGCCTGCCGTGCTGAGCGGCAGGCCAGCCGACTGCCGACGGAGATGGCGCGGCCCACCAGACAAGCAGCAGAGCATCCAGTCAGCAGCAGCGAGAGAGAGGGCGAGGCCACACCGTGCGCAGTACCTCGGCGCTGCAGAGGAGAGAGATCGTCCGCGCACCGGCCACAACGCCCGTCGGGCCATGCTATGGTGTTGCAAGGATTGGATTGCTACGGCGGCGAGACCGGGGCGGGAGCCAAGAGGAAGGGGGCACCCCGAGCCGCCAAGAACCGTCATCCACAACGACACCGGGCAAGGGCCTGGCCAAGCATCTCGCTGAGCGCCTGGTGAAAATAGAAACAACAGGGCGGCCAGAGGCTGGGGAGTTTGGGCGGTGGGGTCCACGACGGAGATCGTCATCAAGCAAGGCTCGTGGCAGGCCTAGCCTGCTCGCCCTCCTGGCGGCGGCCCGCGACGGGGCGGGCATGGTGGGACCAGGGCGAAGCTAGCCAAACCGCGCCGCGCCGTGCCGCCGCTGCTGGCGGCTGATTGGTGGTGGGGGGGAAGGGGGGCTCTGATTCCATCGGATCGCATTTGCCGTGGCGGCAGACGGAGGTACCAGCAGGTAGGGCCAGGCAGGGCAATGATCGCAGCATGATCCTAGGCCTCTTCTGTTGCCGGGCCCCGAGCTGGAGGGGCCGCTCTCTCCTCACCTTGTCGCTCGTCTTCTCTTCTGCATCGTCGCCAGCCACCACCATCGCCACCGACACCGACACCACCACCATCGTCGCCTCCCGTATCGCGACCATCCGTCGCCCTATCCGCCAGCCAGCCAGCGAAGAAGACGCAGCGGTACCACAACACGAGCAGCCTACAGAGCCTAATCAGCCAGTTCGGCGGCCATTTTCTCAGGTGCAGACTCCGCCTGCTTCTGCCTTGTGCCCTGCTTGCTCGTTCTTTTTCCAGCGAGCGACGCACATCACATCGCAGCAGCAGCGCCAGGCAGGCAGGCAAGGCAGGCGAGCCAGACCAGAGGGTAACTAGGCCGGTCCCTGCTGTCCGCACCGCATCGCGCATTCGCCTTTCTGCGCGTCGGCCCGTAACCCTGGCCTGGCCTGCTTGCTTGCTTCGGTCGCAGCCCGCCAGCTCGAGAGCAAGAGAAAATCACAAGAGGCAGGCCAGAGAGGGGCGACCAGCGGCCGGCAGCTTACCTCCGAGCCAAATCTCCTCGACTCGGCGCAAAGGGGGGGGGGCCTTCTTGCTTGCTTTGTGTCCGATTCGCAGCCTAACTGCCTGCAACACCGCCTGCTCAACACCGTACCCCGGCGGATCTCCCTCCACTCCCTCTCTTCCTCTCTCTCTCTCTCTCTCTCTCTCTCCTCTCTCTCTCTCTCCTCCTCCCTCCTCCTCCTCTCGTCCGTACGTACCGACCGTCCGTACCCGTCCGTCCTACCTACCTACCTACCACCACCACCACCA